AATGTTAATGTCTAAAATATAATCTATTTTATTTATCCATAATCATGAATATTTTTAAACTTACATTTTACTTACATTTACAAAGACAGATTAGCCAAGTGTAATTAACAATAATTTATTTTAGTTAAAAAAGCAAGTTTATCTAAAAAAAAAAAAAAAGTAATATAACAGTTCATATTAGCATATTTTGAAAATTCCTCAATATGAAATTAACAAGAAACTGAAAATAAATTGCACCATAGATTTTATTCTGAATTTTAAAAAACCCACATACTATATTTTGTTCCTTTTACTTGTCTTTCTAATACTAGTCAGACAATATAAAAGCTAATCTGCTCACAACTTCCAAAATTCAATGCACTTAATATTTTGACTAAATCAACCAAAAAGTAATAGCATACTTAAAAATGACAACACATAAGTGCATAGCAGACACAAGACATCTAAAAAGAATAAACTTAGAAAGCAATTTACATTTCAATATTTTAAAAATTATATATATATATATATATATATATATATATATATATATATATATACACACACACAACAGAAATTCAGTCAGCATGCACACACAAAGCTCAATTGTTATTCAAATATTTGGTTTCTAAAAATAATGACAAGCAATTTCTTAAAGCTAGCATACTGAATTTGATATATTGACTATTTTTCTCATTAACTCAGCCAAAGTTCATGCCATTATGTGACAAAAGATTTACTCAAGCCAAATATTTTAAGCTTAACCTAGAAGAGCATAAAAAGATGTATTTTTTATTTGAATGAGATATTGTGTCCAATTTACATATTACACAACTTTCTATACATTGCATTAGTTTATTATATAAAGCATTTTGGTTTATTTTTACAAGAAATAAACTTAAAGGACTAATGATCATAGTCCCATTGCTTCTGCTTACTATTATTCTCTTTTCCAGGTTTGAAATTAAATTTTATTTACAGTACATTAACATTTTTAAAATATGCACTTAGCTCTGACTTGTCAGAACTTTAAAAAATGCTGATTAAATATAGTTCAAGATGATATTTGAAAATCAGCACTAAGTAGACAACTAAAAACAAAAAAGTAAAATTTACTGAATTATTAGGAAATCTGATGAAAGCCATTTCAGTATTCTATACAAAAGAGGTAGGATGTGATTTTTTCAAGTTTATTAGTTTTAAAACAATTGAAAAAAAATATATTTAAAAATTAAAATCTCAGGTGTTGCAATTTTTTTTAATTACTTTTACAAATGACATTTGAGAATTAGTCATGCATAAAAAATATTTTATAGCTACACCACATTCTACAAATGCAAGTAAGTATGGTTTGATGAAATCTATTTTTGTTTCTTGAATAAATATTTTACCTCTGGATTATAGAATTCAATTGCAAAACTAAAAGTTAGCACTTTGTACTGAACAACTTAAAGGAACATTTAATTCATAGATATATTATCAGAATTCAACAAAACAACAAACAATAAAAAAGTTGTCATTTCTTTTTTATTCTTCTAAAAATTTCATGTTTAATTTTAAGCATCATATAAAACAAAAAAGCCTGCATATACATATACTTTTCTTCACACACTAGAAATATTTTGTCTTTTTAAGTTTCACAAGTAGATGTATGTTTATTATATATATATATATATATATATATATATATATATATATATATATATATACACACACACACACATGTCACACACAAGGACATACATACTACAATACAACACTTTTCCAAGTAAAGAATGCACCAAGTTTTAGAATTCTTTACCATGTGATTCAAAGTTTTCCAATAGTTTAGAAACAAACAAGAATTAAAAACTTTAGCCAAAAATCAGGAGCTGATTAAATTTTTTTTTTTTTAAAGAGACAAAGAAACCCAAGAGATTTAACTCAGCTGTCTAAAACAGATGAGTCAGCTACTGGAAACAGGGCGTAAATTCAACATTTTTTTTTTCTTTTTTTTAATATGCTAGCAATTCTTTAATTTTTTTTTTTTAATTTTACAAGGAAATGCTGAAAAGTTCTCAGTTTGATCCACTTCCCAAAATCTGACCAAACATCAGATATTTTGTAAAGGCTTCTTGGTCAAGCCAAGAACTTTAACATTCACTTCTTTTCTAGTGGTTAAAATAAATATATCTAAAGTATTTTAAACTGGTTATAGGTTAGGAGAAAATTACAAATATATTAAAAAAAAAAAAATTAATTTTTTGATTTAGTTTCAATTAAATTTTTAACATTTGAACTGGACAAATGTACAAGCATTTAAGCTACTTGCTGTTGGGTGGATTTAAATACTATTAGAAATTTGAGGTCAACATTTAATCAAAACTCATCAGAAAAATAATGTTTCAATAAAATGTTAATTCATTCTTGTAAACTTTTTCTCAGTCACTTCAAACAAAACTATATTATCCCATTGTACTGCATCCTGGAATAATAAGTAGCAATCAGTGAATATTGAAATTTTCTGGTTGTTTAGAATCTCTATGGAAAACCTATATATGTATTAAAACAGTGTATAGCCAATTATGTTTAAGCTTTACAGTATAAATCTGTGAAGCACAAGATGTAGGATTTTAAGGCAGGCCAGAAAATAAATGTTTATTAAAAATAAATTAGTATTTCTCTACGTGTATAAAAGAAAAGAAAAATTACAGCTGTTAGAATAAAAAAAAGTGTGAGTTGATAACAGATTTGGATTATAACAGATTTGGATTCTAACAGATGGAAATTTGTGCAAATAAACTTAACTGAAATCAATGATTAACCCTTTTTAAATCATTCAAGATTTATTTAGTGCTCAATTGGAAGTTCACTGATGAGGAAATAAGGTTGGGGACATTTTAAAGAAATTATAATTTGCTAATAAAATACTGAAATTAATTTTAATGGACTAACAAAACTAGTATGCCTATGTTAGGACAAAACTGATCAAAATCGAACAAGGACTTATACTTATTGTATTTTAATTAGCTATTAAAAAAAAAAAAAAAAAAAGAAGTATAGTCAAATAGTTCATGTCAGAAATTCTCAACCAGAAATTTGGCCAATTGAATAATTAGCTCAAAGGTCTGCTGCAAAAGCACTATTATGGTTTGCAGCAGCACAAATTACTGGATTAGCCAACTTTAAAAATTGTGACCTGTTTATAGTTATGAGATTTAAAGTAATAAAATGAGGTATACAATGCTTCTTCCACCCAGAATAAATTATTATTTTAATAAATAAACTACTGAGGTGATATTTGAACCAAAGAATGAAAAGATATTCCATAAAAGGAAATGTTGTGAACTGTAAACAGAAAATGCATTCATGTTCCAATAAAACATCACAGAAAATAATTCTCAAGTATTAACATTGAAAGGAGTTGTAGATTGCACAATGTGCATCTCTGGTTTAAAAAAAAAAAAAAAAAAAAAAAAAAAAAAAGAAAGAAAAAGAAAAAATAAAAATAAAAAAAAAAGAAGCAAATCCTGAATATTAAATGCACACCTCTTGATATGGTTTAGATTGCATATCTAAAAATATAGTCTATGTTAACAGATTGCAAAAACACTGACCAAGCAAGTATTAATATAAAAAATCAGTTGTGGGGAGAATTTAAAAAATTTAGTTTCTGTAATCAATCTAATAAATAGCTAATTAAAAAAAAAAAATTAAAAGTCTGCCAAATTAAGAAATTTTAAAATATTTTGTCAGTTATGTTTAAACTTGATGCTCAACAAGTTGAGAATCTAAATAATTTAAAGTTATACAAACTGATAATATCCAATCAAAAATGGCTAGCCTATGCATTACAAGTTGCAAATAATAATGAAACCAAAGTATCTTCAAGTTGGTATTGCATTTAAATTGCAATTTGTTTAATAAAAATGAAGGAATTGTGTTCAATATAATACAGGTTAACATCAGTAAAATCTTTGTAATTTCAATGAATTCCAAATTAAACTTATCAAAACATAGTGAAAAGTCTTGAGATTTAAGAATTAATTGCTTTTTGGTTTCAATCTTTGTGTAATCACAGAACTTTTTAGTGTAAAAAGATCTGGTGACAAAAGAAAGATTCAGCAGAAATGTCACAAATCCAGAAGAAAAAAAATGCAAGAAAACAGACTTACTGAGATAATAATTGTTCCAACTGATTTTTTCTAAACAGTATAATGAATCTATCTGCTTCATTCATGGTTGATCCATCTTTCTATCCCTCCAAATAGATCTCTATCTCAATGCTATTATTAAATCCATTGATATATCCCATATTAAGGCTAAAAAAATTGGAAAAAAAAAAAAAAAAAAAAAAAAAAAAGAAAATAAAAGAAAAGGGTATAATAACAGCTGCAATATTTTTCTTCAGTTCTTGGAAATTGTCAATTTTGCTTTGACTGTTCATAAAATACAAAATCTTCATAAATAAAACAAATGAAAATATTGTAATGGCTAAGATATTCCTATATTGCAAGTTGAATCACAAATAGTGAAAATATTTTTTTTTTTTGCATTATAAGGTTTCCTTGTTTTCAATTTAACAGCTATGCATATATGCAAGTTATCACAGATTTAATACTGCAAGAAAGATATCAGTGTTACCTTTCCAAATGTAATGGATTGCTAAAACACTCATTGTTACATCTTTCCATCTTATGCCATTTAAAAAATTTTTTTTTTATTATTTCTTATATGAATTGCAGCAAAAGAGAATGTTATAGAAAAATGAAGCAAGATTTTAACAACAAAATATCTAAAATAAATACAAGACTGGTTATTTTGTTTTTACAGTAAAAAGGGACTTTTCTTTTAATCTCTTCTTACATTTTTTATTTATTATTATTGAATACTTTTTCTTCTTGACAGCATTCTCTAGCAGCATTTATTTAAGGGATTGGAGTGGGTGAAAAAAAAAACAAAAACAAAAAAAAAAAAAAAAAAAACAAAAAAACAAATAAAAAAAGTTCAATCTTTTTTTAATCTAAGGCATGCAAAACCATCTACTGTTCCATTTTGGGGTCCAAAGGTGAGGCCGATCTTGGACTTGGTGATGGAGTGATGAACTCCTCTGTCACGACAGATTCCGTAGTTTCCCTATCAACAGAGCCTGAACGAGAATGAACAGTTCTTGTGGTAGTGGTGCGTGTTTCCACAATTTCCTTGGTGATTACTGATCCATCATCAGTAACTTCTTCAACTCGTCCCAGATCAACCTTTTCTTGTTGCTCTTCAACATCACTTTCAGATTCACTGCTTACATTGGCAGAATCAGTATACCAGGTACTTTCTGTGCCTGGTATAACTTCATCAATTTCATATTCTTCATTCAGTGGACCCTTGTCAGCATCAAATGATTGATGCCTAGTCTTGATTCGGTGAATCATACGGTTCTTTATTACTTTTCGTTTTTGAACTTCCCCTGTTGGCAGTACTTCATCCACATGCTCGACAACTGTCTCAGGATATGGGGGCTTCTCGAAAGTCTCCAGCGTTTCCTGAGATTCAGAACCTGGGATTTTCACATCACCATCAAAAACCTTCTCAACAAGACCCTCATGCCGATGTTGTCGCTCAATATGCGAAACAGAATGTTTGATTACTTTTCGTACACGATGAACTGTACCATCAGGTAAAACATCTTCACTTTCTTCAACTGTTACATGCTCTTTGGGAGCCTTTAACTTTTCTATTACTTCCACCATTCTCTCTGTGGTCTTTTTGTCCATACTTTCTGAGCGTACCCGCATCAGCTTGTGCTTGACCTTTGAGCCATCAGCAAGGTGTTCTTCATGGCTCTCTTCTTCGATAGCATCTTTCATTTCATCGACTGCAAGGGAGATAACCACCTATGACATTTGTGCTAATCTCACCAAGGTCATAGCAAATAAATTAAACATACCAGATTGCCAGAGTTATAAAATACTTAAAAGCTTATTCAAAGAGCAATATAAGGAGTTAAATCAAGTTTCTTAATTGTTAAAGTTTAAAAGACTTAAAATCGTAAATGTGCTTCAAGAAACATCAATGTATAAAAGAATCAATTCCCATGTTTTACAAATTATGATTTTTTTTTTTTAAATTAAGTCAACCAATGCTAGTAATGAGAGTATTATACTAATCTAGGAGAGATATTTAATTATCTTTGAAGCACATCTAACAATTCATAGACTTCCAAAAGTTTATTTAATCTACTTAACTGGACTTTTTACTTGGATTGAATGATGCAATCATAGATTGCTTAGAACAATCTAATTGAAATTGTTTCAGGAGAAAATTACCTGGCAAAATATTTCAATTTCAAAATCACCTATTAAGAATGAACAATTCACTTTTAGGATATTTTATACAAGAGTAAAATAAAACATTCTGATCATTTCACCATTTAACTGAGGAAAAAAAAATTAAATAAGGTATAGAAGCAGGTAGGAATGCAAGGTAACAAACTAGAAAATTCAATAATTTTTTTTTTTTTAAGTAACTTGCAAAACTAGCAAGAATGATAGTTTTATTTTGAGGTGGAGAAATAAAAGATGGATTACAGATTAAAAAAGCAGATAAGCATTGGAATTTAAGATCACAATACCATGCATTGAATTAGCAAAAAATAAATGAAATCTTTGATAGAACTTTTTGCAAAGAAGTAAGAGAAGTCCTGATTAGTATCACAAAAGAATGCAACATTTTAACAATTATTTATAAATACCGAATTTTATTTTTATATTTTTTACTATTAGATGAAGTTTTAAGAAAATATTAAAAAAGAATAATATTAAGAGATATTTAAAAATCTAATTACTTGATTCTAGAATATAAAAATTAAATATTGAGAAATACAATTCTTAGCTACAAATCAAGACTAAAAATATATCCAAAGCCATAATCATCCTAATTTAAAAAAAAAAAAAAATTCTTATTCTATGTAACTGAGAAATCTAAACTGAAGTGAGAAAAACTTAGACATTTATCTAGTAACATATTCTGGAGTCATTGAGTGGGTATATCCAGGCACATTCCAGCACTACCTATAACTGAGGTAATTTAGTGAGGTTGGTAACATCATCTATACATGCTCAATGGGGTTTAAATCTAGTGAGCACAAGGAGTGATAGAGTACCTGCAAGTCACCCCATTATTCCTAGATTCAGTTTCAAATCAGTGATGCACCATAAGTAGCTGCATTATCCTGCTGGAACAAACTGTTACTACCAAGAAACATGGTGAACATAAGTAGTTGCAAATGGTCTGCAACAAAATCTGTGCATGTAATAGTCTTATGCATGTTTCCTCCAAACACAAATTCAAATGTTTACCCAGAACTGGAAATATGACTTGTTTAACCAGGCAACAATGCACTAGTATTCCACAATTCAGTGACTCTAGTGACTGATATAGTGACATTAATGGTACTCTTGTTGATCAACAAATATGAAACCCTATGCAGTACAGTTTATTGACTGTGTTGAGTAGTACTAGCATTAAATTGAGATGTTATTTGTTTCAATGTACATCTTCATTGGTTTGTTACCATTTCTGTCAGTTACCAGTGATCCTATTCTTGCAACACCTGCACGTGTCTGCAAATTTTGTACACTGTTGCTGCCTGTCCATAATTCACACATCCTTGCAACTGTTGAGGAAAACTTAGAGCAGAGATATAATTCCTCATATTCCTAACCCTAATAATTTTTGGTCAAACTGTTAAATCATGAACACATCCCATGGCTGTCACATTTACACTGCCTATTATGTTATCTAGTTGAGGCCATTTCTACAAGTGAGAGTGAAACTATCCAGTATAATGCTGTTTGTAACTTTTTAACATTCCAGTTTATGTCAATGAAATTTCTTTTAATGTGTTATAAAGTAAATATACAGTTAAAGTTACAGATTGACAAGGTTACAGTAGAAGGTATGAGAAAGGCTACAGTAATTTTGGAATTTGTTTAGGAGAACAGGGTTAAAATGAACTCAAGAGAAAAGACAAAACTATAGAGAGGCAGACCAGAAGTTTTGTGAAAGAAGATACAACAAAAATAGAAGTAATTTACTGATAAGCATGAATTACAAGAGAAAAATTAAGAGATTATTAACAATGCTATGTAACTTTGACATTTATGAAAGTTAAAGAAAAATTCACAAGACCAGATTAACCAAATTAAATTTGTGAATGTTGAAAGATAACTTGCTCTGTTTGGCTAATGAACAATTAAAATTTATCCTTATAGGCAAAGGCATGAATTTAAGAATTATAATTTCTTTTAAAATTCCTAGCAGTAAAGGTAATTAATATTCATATATCCAAAATTTGACAAGTATTTTTTTATTTTTGTAAATTTAAAAATTTATTCTTGAACCAAATATCAATGTAAGAAATGATTCTTAAATTTTAACCAAATATAGTATGCAATATTTTCTGGATTTTCATGTGGGTATACTTTTGATATCCATATGTATTATCAAATATCTTTATTGCAAAACTGAAAAGTGCCTACTATAGAATAATGGCTAGAGTGCTCACAACAGATTGATAATTTATTATTTACTGACTGACCCCAAATTAGTTTTGTCCAATAAATATCTAATGCAAAACAATGAACCACATCATCTTCAGTGCCACTTTTTTCATGATATGTAAAGAATAAAAGCTAAAAAATTAGGATTCCTTAAAAACTAATCAGTATTGCTGCAAAGCACCTTCTTTGCAGCAATACTGATTAGTTTTTAAGGAACAGGAAAATGAAGACATGGTGCAAATTTAAAAAAGAAAATATTATGTAAGTATTATTGTTTGACACTTTACAGGCAAAAAAAAAAAAAAAAAAAAAAAAAAAAATGGTGCTGAATGTGATAAGAGTCATCTATTTCACACAGAGATTGACTGTATTATACTACTGGGGTTTAATTTTTATTTTCTAAATTAATTTATTGATAAACTTCTGTAGTTATAGCACTGTGACTATTACTTACTTTGCAACAATACTTCCTGATTTTTTTCTTTATGGAAACTAAGTGCTTTATAGGTTTCCACAAATAAAAAAGAAATATACAAATCTTAATTTTTATAAGTATTCTTTGCATAATACATATCTTTAGGGGTTTTAGGAAATGACAATGAATTGATTTCTTCTATAAAGTTATAAATATAACAAAGGAAAAAGAATAAAATAGTAAAATCCTTTAAATTGCTAAAATGTAAGACACTTTATAATTTTAATTCTTTTATTTTTATTCTTATATTGTTCTTTTGATTTATGAAAACAATGTTTTGTAATTTTTATTAAGAACAATAAAAATGTTTTATTTTTAATACAATTTTTGTTTTGGATGTGCTTCTGGAGTACAACTGATTGACAATTAAATACATGAGTACAGGATAAAGTATGAAACAACTATATCTTAAATTATAAATGCAGATATCAATAGTTTCAAGGTTAATGAAAGAATATTAAGTAGAGCCTCATTAAAGGGATTAAAAAAAACAAACATACAATGCAGCCAAAGTTTGCCTACAGTTTAATCATTAATAACTAAACTCATTATAATCATTAGACAAAAGTTTTAAATGGAGAAGAGCAAAATGTAAAATCCTTTACATTTGTATCTTTTAAATGTACTTCAACTAAGATAAATGAAAATTTTTGCAAAAAAATTTACAAAAACTCAAATATTTTGATATGCAATGGTCCAATAAACATCAATAAAAATTTCTTAAAGTGACTGTCTACTAATATATTTACAAGTAAAATATATATTATTTTACTTTCCCTGAGGGGTAAGTATAAAAATAATTCAATATATTGGATTATTACAACTTAGCAAAAGTTTTTTAAAAGTTAGAAATACAAAGTTTGTTACAATAACACTTATCCTTGGGAGTAAAAGAAAGAAATAATAGTTTTGTTGATGATGCTTTTGCATCATAGAAATTTTTCAGAAATGAATTCCTTTTCCAAAGGTGCCAATGTACAACTAAAGAAAAACAGGAATAGTATTTTAACAAAGCTTGTTTAGAAATGTTTGAGAAAATTCCAAAAAGCTTAATTATTTTCTTTTCATTAGAAGGTGAAATGATAGAACAATTTATTTAAAAGACTGATATGCATTCATATCATTTCTAAGTATTCAAATAAAAGATACTGCCATAATCATGTTATTTATCCCAAACATATTTAATAGTTCATTAAATAGGTGATTCTGAGAATTTCAAAACAGCAATTACGAATAGTCTGATAGGAACTACAATTGACAAAACATTAAATATATTGCAAACAATACAGAACATAAACAATGAGCCAGGGGGAGCAGCAGGTAGCAGATTATGTATAGACAAAAGAGCTAACAAGCAAGACAAATTGCAATGAAAACTTTCTTGGTAGATTGTAATTGTTATGATCAAAAGAGTAACATTTGAATAATGTACCATATTATAATGTCATAGGACAGGTATTTTGTGTTCTTACAACCATCCATGGAATTGGTGGTTCCTGGAGATACCAATATTTTTCTGCCAAGATGTAAGTCAAGCTTAACATGAAAAATAAAAACAAATGTTCAGAGCACATATTTCTGTATATTCATCAACAAAATAAAACTAAAAAATACAAATAATTATCTTACATATTCAAACAAAAGTGATCATTGCAAAATTTTAAGTTTAGATTTGGTTATATTTCTCTGATCTGTAAATTACTTTCCAGATAAATAAAAAGTTATAAAACAAAATATGAATAAAAATAAAATTTAGTACTGTCTAGAAATAAAAATAAAATGCCCCAAGAAATGAAAAAAAAAATACTGCTAGTTTTGGTGGTGCTCCGAA